AGTTTTTGTTGTACACCAAACGTCTAATATTTGTCCAAATGGGATGGAATTTGGCACTTATGACCGAATTGAGTCTAGAAGCTGGTATGTCATATTTGGTGAAGATCGGTTCAGATATAGCTATAGCTCTTATATATACTGTTCATGCGATTTGTTATAATTGTTACCCACAGCCGTAATATACACTCCGTAACAACGACATTCAGGGAAATATATCAAATACAGCTCAGAAATATATTTGCTAAATTTCATCGAGATCGGTTCCGATCCCATATATATATTTATCCGATTTCAAATTAATTGAGCACCAAATGGGCAATACAAGTCCGAATTTAAAAGATACAAATGCTTCGGCATATTTAGTCCCTTGATAATCATTGCGTGTATGATTAAATTCTCCCATAAAAACTTTTAATTGTTATGCGGAGCTCTACTAAATTAGTAAAGTGGTGTAGGGTATCTTAAAGTCGGCCTTTCTTTATTGTTTTTTTTTTTTTTTAAATTTTGTTGAATGAAAGCAAAAATTGTCGGAAATAGCATCAAATTTGAGAAAAAGTTTAGATTTGTTCGAATTGGTCAACTTGGGCACGAATTATGAACTTCAAACGGCCACGCTGCCCGAATGTTGCTCTGCGGTATTTTGGTCCATTCCCGGCGAGGCGCTTACTTGAGGTGATCGACACTTTGGCCATTACCATGGCCGGCCCTTGAGTTCAGGTGGCCAACCGATGGTGCACATTTTCAGCTAACCTCTTTGGCAAGTAAACATGATAATTTTGTTTGTTTACAAACTGCTGGACAACGAATGTTTTCTCATCGCAGAAAACCAAATTTGGCAGTTCACCACTTTCGGCCAAGCGATGCAGCTTTTTATCTCTTTTGAGTCTAATTTATTTCTGTTGTTGTGTAAGTTCTTGCATTTTTGGAATATCAGTGGCTTTACCCCGCCCCCATTTTTCAATAATTGGCGAGTGTAATATTGCGATATGTTCAGTTCAGGAGCCATTTTCGGCCACTGCGGCGCGGGTTTCAATCAAGTCGCTTCTTTACTTTTCGAACCATATCTGCTGATGTTGCCGTTTTCTTTCGTCTGCCAAAATGCTTTTGTAAGCTTGTAAAAAATATAATGAGCTGTCACTGGAATAATTTTAACAGCTGCCGGACAAGTGGATTAGAAATGACAGCAGTCTGAAGTTGGTTTCAGTTTTTTCATCTCACCCTGTATATATGACACTGGTACCAAGTACCATTGTAATGGAGTGCATTTTTGGGCTGCTCGGGACCAAATTGCAGTTGCTGGGAAACTCATAGTTTTGGAATATTTTGGAATGTATGCAAAGGAATCTATGACCATTAGGTACTTTTCTCCCACAAATATATAAATAACTCCTATTTGATAGATTTATATAAATTGTGCACCACATACTTCTGCAACGGATTCGTGTGAATACAATGTGCACACATATGCATGTGGGCATAAAATGCCAAACTCATTGTAAATGCTCTGGAAATAGCGGAAATAAGGACGGGTAGTCATATAGGTCCGTTTGCATTAATATAAATTATCCGCACAAATGTGTGCGTACAAACCTCTTCGCCATTCACGGCGAAGGAATGCGAAGAAGTGAAATTGAAAACAACTGATTTATATTTCCGTTCTCCGTGCGTTGTGTTTACCCCAAGCATCCAATTAAGTTGAAAACTTTTAAATGCTCAACTCTTTCAGTTCTCAGTTGGCAATTCTCTCGTTTGCTTCCACACATATCGTTATACATTGAATTGACTGTGTGTGTGTGTGCCAGTGTATGCACATTCCACGCTCCATTAGCTAAAGTTGTGGCGTCATCGCAATGGGCAAGGCTGGAGCACGGATATTAAGCCTTTAATTCGTACATAAAAATACGCAATCCTTTGACGGCAACTTGGCTTGTCTGCAATGCTCTCAATTACCAGAGAGATAGAAGTAAATGTAGTAATTGTGTCTCTCTGTGTGTGTGTGTGTGTCCGTGTGTTCGACACGTATGTGTGAAAACTAAATGTGGTGTGGGGAATGTGAGCTGCGCACAGCGGCGAATGACAAATAATTTACTTACTTCTGTAATACAGTCTGCATATTAAGTCGTGTTGAATTTTAACTTTAATTGCGCGCAAACACCGTTTTGCCATTTCACCAGTTTTCTACATTTGTGCGTTATTTTAATTAACTCATATAAATGCAAATGTAACGCTAGGCCTCGGATGTCCGACATGCGAAAGCCTCGGGGCTGTTTTCGGCATCGTCTGTCTCATAGAATGTTTTGAGGTTGAGGCTGTCCGCGTTGGATTCTCGTCTGCTGTCGATGTCGGTGACTATGGCATTTGCAAATGAATGGGTTGCTTGGTTTTCTGTTGTATTTTATAATTAAAATGCGATAAAGATGATGAAGATTCTAATTAATATAGTGCTGGTGTTGCTTTTTTGTGCGCAGCTAAAGAGTCATGACCAAAGTGCGAATGTGGCACTTTTGTTCAGTCCAATGTGCCCCTTCAAAATTAGCTTACCCACATGTGATTTTATCAGCATAAGTAGTAATGATAAAAAACATGTCAGATTCTATTGAATTTTTATAAAAAGGCAATTGAAAATATGTAATTATTCGCTGAGAATTGAAACATATCTAAACGGGCTTGATCTGTTAATTAATGCAATCGTTTATGCAAAGCAAAGGGAAAAAAATTATATATAAAATGGAAGGGATCTTCACGAATTCCTGAGCACAAACCAAATAAAATCATTGTCCGTACGTGTTGGAGGTATAATTATGTGCAAAAAGACTAACAAGGATGCAAGTGGTTAACATAATTTGAATGGTAACTTACCGCCAATAGTTTAATCCACTTGACGAAGGTTCTCCCGTTGCTGTCCTTTTATCAGAATTGTCTATTTGCCCAGTATTTGTATGGAAAAATTGAATGCTGGGGATTAATTTGTTTTACATCAAAAATTCTTATTTGTTATAATACGACTTTTTTTAAAAAAAATTGTGGCTGTTTTCAAAACGAAAGGTATATTTCGGAATTACGTGAATTAATGTTTTAAATACTTTTGACATTTAATTCATATTTCGGTGTATTACCTACTGGTCGCATGTTCGCATTTTTTTCTTCCTTCCAAAACAACTTTCATCCCATAGTGGTGTATACTACAAATACTGAAAAGTTAAGTATGTCTTATATACTTGATATGCTCGACGTCACCATCATACAGAGGCCACAAATGTATATCAAGCCATTTGGAATTACAATCAATTTAAAATATATTTGATAGCGCACTGTGGCGTATACTGAACAACTCATGTCATACTTCCATAACTTATCCGACACATTGTAAACGGCTCCCCGCCCATTCAAACATTCAAGTCGTTGACAACAAATTATAGTGCCAGAGCACAAAAAACTCTTTAAATGCACCGAACTTTTAGTTTTTACAATCCACCATAACTTGGAGGTTACACTTAACTTTGTCATTCAGTTTGTAACTCCTCAAAACCTCATGTAAGACATATGTAAGCATATGTATTCTTCTCAGCAAAATTAGAAGGCTACAGTTTTACACACATGTGTATTCTTTCAGTAGGCAGGCATTATCCATACCACTTTTCCCGATATAACGACACTTTCCGATATTTGTCAAATTTAAATTTTATATATGTAACAACCCATAAATACTACATAAAAAATTATTATTCGTTGACCATCCCAAATTCCAGGCTTTAACGCTGTTCTAAGCTCTAACCTCATAAAAAATTCCATGTTCCTTAGTTGAGAACTGTAGGACGACTGTAAAATCAAGACAATTGTTAGGGTTTCGTCCATTTAAAACCCTAAATATTCTGTGGACATCTTCCAAAACAGACGGAAGGACGAATGTATGAAGCTAGATCCACTCGGTTCGTAGAGAAGGGAAGATCCACTTATAGTTTCCTATGGAGGACCATGCAGGACCAATATTTCGAGTTGTTACGTAATTTTTGACCCAATCTGAAAATGGTGTAGAACAGACAAATATACCAGTATTGAATAGAGTTCTAATTGACTTAATAATAATAATGCTAATTTTTCTATGAAAATATCAAATGAAAACTATAAAATGTCCGAAATTAATTTTTTAATTTGACACTTCTTTTCCTTTATAGGGTAAGTGTACCAGTAGTCGGCACTTTTAGGATTTTCGCGTTTGTAATCGCTCACCATTCTGAGTGGAACTTTTCAATCATTACAAAGTTAATTTATTCAGATTTGAAATTTTGTATAGTTTTTGCAATAATAAATAAAGTTTTAATAACCTTTTATTAAATTTCATAAATTTGTAGTTTTATTAAAACAATGCTTTTTTGCCAGTAGTCGGCACCACTTGCCAATTGTCTGTATGGCATGTTGCAACAGTCGGCATACCAATTTTTTTGTAAGAATAATTAATGATAATAATAAATTAATTCATAAAAATATAATATTTTTGTTTAGTTAAACTGATTCGACGTCTTTACTGTACTTCTCTTAAGAATATGGATTGTTGAGGACTTTCACATACAGAAATTTAATTTTTATTAGAATAAATCATCTTTTCTTAGCGAAATTGTACACAAAGATAGCTGACAATATATTTGAAGTAAACAAAATATATTTAGTTATAAAAGTTTCATTTATTTGGGCTTAAAAATAAAAAGTGCCGACTACTGGGACATGCCGAACTTAGGCACACTTACCCTAGAAACTTTGTATTTCGCAAGAATTAAAGCGGAAGTTAGCAATCCATTAGTTTTGTAAAAATATCACAACATGTTACGCATACGCTACAAGGAGCAAGTACAATTTTTTTATAGATTGCTATATATGTACATGTTACTCACATTATTCCATTTAGCTTATTATATTTGCATTTAACGAAGAATGATGAAGAATTTAATTTTATTTATTATTTCCATCTATTTAATAATAATAAACCATTTCTTTCTTTGCAGGTAATACATTCTTGAACATTGAACATCTTGAACAAATAACACCTTCACCTCATTCTTCATAACAACAATATTCCATTTTAACCGGTAAGATATTCCAAACTGTCTAATGTTTCTCAATTACATCAATTTGGATTTCTCTGTATTTCATTTTTATGATTGTGAACTATATAAATGCATCTTATAATAAACTCAATTTAGAAGGAATTTTAAAATCCGATCTAAGACAGCGCTTGTTTTTAATCAGTAAGGGCAAAACAGACCACCACCGAGAATTGCAGTCTCCATGGCGTTATGAATAAAACATGGCTACGAAACACTTTCACATTTCTCATCAGAATAGACACACAGTTTTGCAATCAATTCCGAGAATGATTTCTTCGTTCTGTGGTAAACTTCAAATGAGCCAATCAAGAGAATTTCATTACAGCAGCCGATACAAAAGGCAATCCGAGAAGAAATTACATTGGTCTCTTCAGTGGCAGTAGAAGTTTATTGCCATTCATAACCGCAAAATAATTCCAATCTAGAGACGAGTAAAAGTACATGCCGTTTTATAACGCCATACTTTTGTGGGACGCCTAGGCGAATAGGAGACAATATTGGCGTTCGTAGTTAGAGAATAGAACAAAATGAAGCGATGTAAAATACAATAAGTAGATATAAAATAATCGAAGTAAAGTATTGCAAGAAAACACTGAATTTTTAGATTTTACCGATTGTAGTTGTTTTTATAAAAATCCTGGAAAGAAACCATCATTCTTCATTAGTCCTTTGAGTTTTTTGTAAGAAGATGTTCTCCCCCATAACTCATTTATATAACTCTTTTTAACAAAAGTAAACAAGAATGTCACCACCACCATCTCTTTTCGAAATCGCTATTGTTTTTGTCACTATTCATGGATTATACATGCCATGTTTAAATAAAGGAAAAGGTTAAACAATCTGACCGAAAGTGTATTAGAACACTCCACCATTTGAAATATTACAGGTTTGAAAATAAGTTTTTTGGTGCTGAGGTCCAGCATATGAGCTGCGTACTTTCTTAATGCCATACTAAATAAAAAAGTCAAAAATCATTTAAAATTCCAAATAATGTACTATATGAGGAGTAAACAAAAACCTGGGCCTTTATAGACAAGTTGTTACCAAAGGGTGTGGTAATTCAAAATATAGGGAGGTTTCGTTATACGCGTTTTATATTGGATTTTTCAACGTAAAACTCTTTTCGACTGCCATTACGAATGCTATGTGAAATTCTATTAAATTGAAAATGCATTTTTGGTGCACAAATAAATAAGTATATCCTTCAAAACAAGTTAAAAAGTATCAGTCAGTTTTGTAGACAAATGTATGGGGGAGGTACGAAGGAGTGCACCAATATTATCCATTTTCACATATGAATGGTTTGTACTAATCGGCTACGCGCTACGCTCAATTTTGAAAAATTGTAAACGTTTGCGGGGGAGGTTCCGGAAAGAGTGGGCCGATTTTTCACAGTGGACTTTGTATTGGTAGAAATATTAAGATGTGTCAAGTTTGAAAAAACCGGATGATAATTTCACATTGTTTGAAGGCTCCGGTCACATATAGTATTCGGTTTGCGGTGTGATGAGAGGAGGCTTGCTACTGCTGGAGCTTGCCAAAGGATAGCTACTGATTTTCTAAGATCATCGGTCGTCCCCCGGCTAACAAAAGCGTTAGCCGGGAATATTTTCTTTCAAGACTGGCTCTCATTAAGTTAAGTGGGTGGTAATTTATTTACACAGGTGTTTCGGCTCGCTGTTCCACATGAACTTCGGTTCGCTGTTCCACAGGAGCTTCGGCTCGCTGTTCCACAGGAACTTCGGTTCGATGTTCCACAGGAGCTTCGGCTCGCTGTTCCACAGGAGTTTCGGCTCGCTGTTCCATAGGAGTTTCGGCTCGCTGTTCCACAGGGGTTTCGGCTCGCTGTTCCGTTTTATAGTCGAACGATGGTTGTGGAGTAGACGTAGTTATAGAATCGTAGCTAGGCTAGTTACCTCGCCCCTGTAGCCGACCCGAATAACAAAAACCCGAGCTGCCGAGCCCGAACGAGCCGTAATCCATCTATCGTCGGCACTAACAGACAGACGGACAACCCGAGATCGACTCCAAATGTCCTGAAATGGATTTCGTCTAAAGATCGCATGTTTTGGCCGTATCAAATGATAAATATCCTCTGTAGCCATATATCTGAGGTACCTCATTCTATTTTGTTTTCTGATTTTTTAAATGAAAAAAGTATTGAAAATGTAAATGTAACAAGTCAATAGTTTACAATTATAATGCGAATATCAATATTAATGTTCACTGCCATCAAAATGTCAGAAGTGATGTAGACAGTGGCAACTCCGTTTACTGAGCTAGTGACTTCCTATGTGGACAGGCCGCTTTATAAATAAGTAAAAAGGGCGTTAAGTTCGACAAATACGTACTTTATTTGCATCAAAATAATAGCCAAATGAGTTACCTTAAGTTATCAGAAATTTGGAAATTTAATATGATAAATGATAATGTTTATATTTTCCAAACAATGTTTTGTACTTTTCCTGCTAGGTATCATTTATTAGTGGTTTGTGAGCCTCCAACCTCAAGTTTTTTTTGTAGTAATTTTTGATTTGACCATTTTTCTCAAAAATTTTTCGTTGTTGGTATCAGCAACTTTAGCTGTGCCACTGGATTAAAGTTTGCATTCGTAATTAATTCATTTAATTTTAACAAAATTATTTTTCCAATTTATTTTGCTTTCTTGTTTGGGTTTTGTCTCTCTTCGAATGGTAAATAACGACTTCTTTTCTTTTGTTCAACGAGAGTATAAAGCAAAGAGAGTATAAAGCAAAAAATAAAAAAAAAACTCACGCAATATGAGTTTGTGTTAACATTTCTTGTGACTATAACTGCTTAAGAAAACATATCTGTCTTTATATCCTAAGCCATATGACTAGAGAGGGTATATATCATTTGTCGTCTGTCTGGCTGGTTGGTGCAAACGATAACACCCGAAGGGAGTATCCGATCTAGCCAAAACTTGGTGCATCGTAATATTATTATCAAACTTAGATCGAGTTCGGACATGAGCACTCTCGGTCCACTCCTTCTGGAACCTCCATCGTCAAATGTCAAAATTTTCAAAAAAAAAAAAAAATATATATATATACACATATATTTTTATACCCTACAACACTATGTGTTGGGGGTATTATAAGTTTGATTGGCCCAAAAATTATGTAACACCACGAAATATTGATTTCCCACATAGGAAAGTATATATGGATCTTCCTATCTCGCCGAGCTGAGTCGATCTAGCTATGTATGTCCGTCCGTCCGTCTGTCCGTCTGTCCATGTTAATTTGTAATCACTCTACAGGTCGCAATTATGGTCCGATCTTCACGAAATTTAAAATGGAGGTGGGACTATGGTCAGAATAGAACCCTATTTCTTTTGGTGATGATCGCATAATATTTAGGGGTTGAAATGGACCAAAAACTGAAAAAAATTCTGATTTTGCACTTGCTCTACAGGTCGCAATTATAGACCAATCGACGCGGAATTTCGCATGTAGCTAGAGTTTAGGGATGGCAAGAAGCCTACCTATTTGGGTGTTCATCGGATAATATTTAGCGGGTAAAATAGACAATATCTTTTTTGTTGAAAAAATTCAAAATTTTTCATAAAACCGCGAATATTTTAAATCCCGGCGAAATCACAAAGCCATGACAAGGTTACTTCTGATCTTTATATTGATGTTAACATCCAACAAAACGGATATATAGCAAAATATGTGCGATATATATGTTTACCAAAGAAGATATGCTTGAAAAATCTCTTATATGTCGAGAACGGCTGAACTGATTTCGACAGTTCTCATTAATTCAGAATGACCTCTTGGCAGGAAACATAAAACGTCGAAAAAAAATCGCATAAAAATATCTCTCTAAAGATGAAAATATTGATTTTGTAAAATTTTCTCATATTTTTTCAATTTTGTCATATTTTTGGCATATTTTCATTTTGATTTGAACATTTGGTAATATTTCTACAGCTAACAAAACTAAGTAGTTAGAATATCAGGATATCATATACAGATCGCATTTATGGCCCGATCCTTACGAAATTTTGCATGGAGATAAGATGAGGGTCAGAATAAAAGCCTATTCTTTTTGAAGATGATCGCCATATATTTAGGGGTTGAAATGGACCAAAAAACTGCAAAATTGTCAGCAGGTCGTAATTATGGGGGTTACCGGACATTGCAAAAGCCAAGCAGTTTTGGATGGCCATCCAAAAATATTCAATGTGTGAAGGAGTTTGCCAACTTTTGTAGACAAAATACGAAAATGTCCATTCCAGTGACTTTTTGGAGAATTCACAAATACAGGAAAGACGCACTTCTGACTATTTCGTTAACGCTGATTTCGTTGAAGAATATAGTCAAATGTCTGTATCTCATATAGATGCGTTTCAGTCAAAAACCAATAATAAATGTTAATCTTTTGCCAATTCTGAGAGATTATAGGTCTTTGGGAAATATTGGTTCCAGATCTAGGAAGACCATTTAAGTGCAACATCTACCAATAAATTGGAAATGAGCAAATTAGTTTAAGTTGCTATTATTCGAAAATTAGAGAACGAAACCTGATGGTTTTCTTTTATTATTTGTCACAATATCTTGTGGAATTCTTTCGAGTATCTTGCCTATATAAACTGTATCGTTTATTATAGTGTTGTAGGGTATTCAACGGTCGGCCCCGCTCGACTGTAGCCTTTGCTTACTTGTTTTATTATTCCTTTTTTGAAAATTTTGACATTTGACGATGGAGGTTCCAGAAGGAGTGGACCGATATATATATGTATATTACAGGTCAGGTCCACTCCTGTAATGTAATGCAACTATCCGTTTGTCTTCAAATTACACACATCACAATATTTTTATTAACCCAAGGTCTTGTGTAAAGATGAAATATATATATATATATATATATATATATATATATATATATATATATATATATATATATATATATATATATATATACACTCCTATATTAATAATATTTCCATTAAT